ACACGCCTACCCCGACCCACATAACCCCCTCTTTCCTGCTCCAAACAGTCCGCTTTTTATCCTCTGTTTCATTTGCGAGGTTTACATAACCCCCTTTGAGGCTTCCATCAAATACCTGGGTCTGGAGAACCCAAATAAGCTCTACCTGTAGTAACCTTCCTAGTGACCGTTCTCACGAACTTTAGACATTTTCCATCGGGGGTACCCATTTTGAGATTCTCTTGAAATTCAGAGAATTTAGAACATCTTCAACTCCCAGAGCCCTCCTCCAACCCTTAGAATCCCCATCTCTCTCTGTTTTGGGGGGTCCCTTGGAAACGCACATAACTCGCTCTCATGATTCTTTCCCATGTTTGACCTTCCTTCCCATCCCTGAGATCCTGAATTTCTGTTTCCTCCCCATGTGTCCACTCCCATCTCCCAGTCTTGGGGAATTTAACATTTCCCACCTTACATGGGGTGGTCTAGAAACTAGTCTGGGTGGGCAGGCTTTTTCCTGCAAAACCAGCCCCATGCTGTGGCCCAGTTTGGTGGCCTCCTGTAAGGTGGAAGATAAGGGCCAACAGTGTGGGGGAGTTGGTGCTTTTCACTTGTAAGTGTAGCCTGTCTCCTGCCTTGTGTGTTTTTCCACCTGTGAGCTTGGGACTGTGATAGTTTGGCCTTGGGTTTCTAATCCTCCCCTAGTGCTCAAGGTGAGGCCACAAGATTGGGGGGGTGGGGTGTCTCATGGAGTTTCCTCACGGTAAAAACGAGGCTTTAGTGAGTTGCAGCCATTTGCTCAAGGCCTCCCCAGGAGTGGGAGGCTGCAGGAATCTGAGGAAGTAGGGAATCAAAGGAACTCCAAAGAGGGCCCATCTACACTGACAGAAGAACTAGCAGCACAAGAGTAAATCCAACCTCCTGTTAATCCTGTTTGATGTTTCTTGGAATGATGCAAGTCACTGAGACTCTCCAGCCTCCCTGTAATTTAATTCTCCCACCACTCTGAAGTGTTGTATGTGTGAGTTGGAGTGAGCACGACAGCTATTCCCATTTCCCTTTGCTTCTCACTGTTTTCCAGCCAACCAGTATGCTTTTTGGGTATCCCAAGTCAGGACCTATTCTATATATAATTTCCTAGTTGCTATTTTGACTTTTGCTTTAAGGAAAGATTCAGTTCACCCCAAGGAACGTTCCTGGGTGTGTTCCTCCTCGGCAGGTGTTGAATTGAGTTCTTCAGATCCCCAAGTAGCTCTTGGGCAGGAGGGATAAAAGCTATTTTAGGGTAGTCACTGAAGTGGAGCTGTTAATCCTCTGTGGGTCTCTTTAGTTAAGAACTCTCAGAGATTAACCCTTTCCTTGCAGGGACAGGGAACTAGCTCAACAGGATTTTGGGGGGCAGTTGGGAGAATTGGAGTGTGGTAATAGAAAGTGGGAACATGTAATTTAATACAAAGACAGAGGTAATAGCTCTCTTTCATTGGGTACTTATAGCAGACCAAACTAATGCTGAGCTCTTTGCATACCTGCCTAAAATAATCCTTACAACAAGCCTGTGAAGTAAGTATTTTTAGCTTACAGATGAGGAAACTGGCTAATAATGGAGAAAGAACGCAGTTTCTATAGAGGTGATGTAACACCATAAAAACTATAGTTTCATCATAGGGCAGCAGGCATCATGGCATATAGCAGAGGACAGACAGGAGCAGTATGTCTCCGATTCAGCTTTCAGAGGCCAATCACAGTTTTGAGCAAACATTCCTATTTGGGGTATGGAGACTTAATAATAGAAGAGGGTACAATAAAAGCATAAAAAAGTGGCTATCCAGGCAAGAGAAAAGTCTGGCCCAGGAGATGTGCTAGAGGAAGGTGAAGGAACTGGTTAGAATGGATGTGCTGAGGGTTAGTTGTGAGGGAAAAGCGGAAGGTTAGTTGTCAGGAAGGGAAGGAAACTCACTCTTAGGCTTGAGAAAATACTAAAGGGAAAAAAAGAAATACTAGTCAGGTGCGGTGCAGAAAAGAGGCAGATGCAACTTGGACCTCAGAGAGGACATTGCATGTATTCAGCATGTTTCATGTCACTTCTAAGAGAATTATTTCACTTAATCCTCTAGGAGAATTTTATAAGTAAGGAGAATAATCTCTATTTTAGAAATTAAGGAAAGTGTTTCAGAGAAATAAAGTAATTTGCCTATGACTTCACAACCAGTTAAGTGGCAGCTCTTCTGATAGCAAGTCCAAGGTTCTTTCCATACTACCTCCCCCTTCAGATCAGATGCCAGAAAGGATCCTAGGCTGAAAATATACTGAGTTATACCAGTCTGGGAGGGATTGTGTTTGTTTTATGGGAACAGGTTCTGTCAGCTTTCTGTAGTTGTTACAGTTAGAGCGTGAGACCAGAAGAGCAGCTTTGAAAGAGAAGCAGAATTCTTTTACAGTTTCGTGGAGGAAGGAGAAGTCTGAAGGAACAGGCCTGATTATGTGAAACAAATCCAGGAATCTTCTGGATCACAGGAGTTTTCAAACAAAGGACAGAGAACTAGATTCTCAAAGGGTTCCTAGGTAATACTAGCAATTTTGATTATCCAACAGCTTGTTGGTGACATAGGTAAGGTCTTTACTGTGCCATTTTGTGTGTGTGTGCGCGCACGCACGCGTGCGTTTGCACATTGGGAATTAAACCCAGGGGTACTTAACCACTGAGCTACATTCCCAGCCCTTTTTTTATTTTTCATTTTGAGACAAGGTCTCACAAAGTTGCCTAGGTTCTCAGTTGCCGAGAATGACCTCAAACTTGGGGTCCTCTTCCTGCCTCAAGCCTCCTGGGTCACCGGGATTACAGGGCTGCACCACCATTCCCAGTTCACTGTGCCTTTAAAAAGGCCTATAGGGGACTAGGATCTGGGTGGTGACTCTTTTCTTTTAACCTCATTAAGTGCAGATCAAGGCAAGCACATGGTTCCCGCCTTCTTCCTTGGTTCTATCAGTACAACCTCATGAGCTCTTCTGAGCCATTACCAGCCTCTTTCCTAGAAGCCCATTACTCACTCTTTCAGTAGCTGCATGCTAAACTGCTATGTCTTGTTTGTGCATGTTTTAGAGAATAGATGAGGTGGACGTGTGGGAGGTGGGGCTGTACCGTTCTCTTTCTGAGTTCGTACGGAATTTCCAGGGTTTGGCTCCCCTCTCATATCAGCCATTGTAGTGTGCTTGCTTTCCTCTGGCTGCCATTCCCAACTTTTCAGAGGCTGAAGTGCATGATTTCAGATATGAAGGGAGAACAGAATTTGACTTTGAAGGTAGGGGAAATTCCCTCCAAACAAGACACGCACACTCAAGCTCACCGTCTTCCCAGTTCCAAGGTGCATAGTAAGCACTGGTATTATAAACAGGTAATTCCACCCTTGCGAAGGAGGAGGGGACTTAGACAATGAAAGGCAGAGAACAGAGGCCTTTGAGGTTTTTAGTGAAGCAGGCAAGTATGCCATAATGACTTGAAGGCTCAAGTGGGTCTAGTTTTTAATGCTGCCTACCCCCTCCCAGCACATGATTCACATAAAACATGGCCACCTGTGTGCAGATCTGTCTAGGCACATCTCCACTCTTGATGGGGAAATGTTTATCGCATTACATTGCAACGTTTTTTCAACAAGAGGGAATGGTTCCTGAACAGGATGTAGCTCATGTTAATGATGAGCAAAGCTCTCTGGGGCATGAACCCGCTGATACTATCATCTCGTTCATGGCCAGTCTGTTGGATGAATGGTCACTGTAAGCAGCAGGTGCTAATGAGCTGAGCAAGCATTCTGTAGCCCACAGCTAGTTTGTACAGTTGGAGCCCTCCCCAGATTCTTGTGGACAGTCCCCAGATACCCCCTTTGCTCTCTTCACATGGAAAAGCCTTATGACCACATTTGACATGATCTCTTCAAAGGGAATCTCCCTGTTGTAACAGGGTGCGTTGCAGTTGGTAATATGTGGTGTGCTAATGAGTGTGAATGTAGGTCTGTTGTCCGCCTTTTGAGTGTCAGTATGGAAACTCCCATCCCTTTCTTCTGAGGTGGTGTCAGGAAAGGAGATGTTTCACCACTGTTCCTGCCCTCCTCCCTTCCTGGTACCACTTCTGCCAACAATAGAATGGGTCAGATTTCAAGTTGACATTCCTTTTCCAGATATTAGGTGTATGGCGATACCTAGACCCATCAAGAGAGATGATAGGAGCCCTCAGAATCAGAGTTGGGTGGAGAAATCTAAATTCTAATGCAAGTGTGTTACTTGCTGCTAATGGAGAAGTGCATGTATGCCCTGAGAGTCTGTAATAGGGGCTACCCAGCACCTTGGGATGTTGGACAGGCTTTGCCACAGAGGTATGAACTGAACCTGGAGGCCAAAAGAACCAGAGAGGTGGTAGAGGTCAGGATGGGACTGGTATTGGTTCTGCTATTGCCTCCTCAAACAGAACTTCCTGGTGTCAGTGTGCCACTAAGAAGCACATCTGGCACAGGGCTGGCTCTTGGGGTGTAAATTTCCTAAGTAAAAGCTTCTTCCTTCTCTGTTGCCTTTTGGACATTTTATTGCTCCCTAGCACCTCTGTGAAGGGAATTGCAGAAAGTAGTGGATAAGGGGGGAGGGTAAACAGGAGGAGGAGGAAGAATTGCTGTCTCTGGGTTCAGTAGAAAGGATGTAAAAGTGAAGTCAAAGAGAAAGTTTAGAGTTTTAGAGCTTTTAGTTACTTCTGTCTTCCTGTTTCTTATTAGCTTAGATAGGACCAGTTATAATATTTACCACTAAGCACTTACAGTGCCTCACCTTCTGCTGAGTGTTTTATATTTATGATCTCATTATTCCTCAAAACACTGAAAATTTTGGTGATGGTTATGCCCATTTTATAATTGAGGAAACAGCCCAGGAAGGTAAGTAATTGAAAATCACACGGCTTCTAAGTGGAAGGGCTGGGATTAGAATGGGATCTGTCTTCCTCCAGAGCCCATATTCTCATGGTATTGGGCTTCCTAACACCAGGTGTTCTTATATTTCAGGTGAAGAGATTGTTTTCTGAAGGCTGCGGTGTTGAAGGCTGTGACAAAGCGGAGAGCCTGTGTGGAGCTGATGGGGAGGCTTTCTGAATAACATGGCCCTATGCCATTAGCCTTGCCATGACCACATTTTTCACCAGCGTCCCTCCCTGGATTCAAGATGCAAAGCAGGAGGAGGAAGTGGGCTGGAAACTAGTTCCCAGGCCTCGGGGCCGGGAGGCAGAGAATCAAGTGAAGTGCCAATGTGAAATCTCGGGGACACCCTTCTCAAATGGGGAGAAGCTGAGGCCTCACAGCCTCCCCCATCCAGAGCAGAGACCATATAGCTGTCCACAGCTGCACTGTGGCAAGGCTTTTGCTTCCAAATACAAGCTGTATAGGTAAGTCACATTCCCATACCTCTTCCTGCCAGAGGTTCCCAGAAGTCAGAGCTAGAGAGATGCCACCAAGCGTGGGGCTTTATCTGCGATAGAAGAGTGGAAATTAATTTGTCCAAAGTATACTCTGAACTCTTAACAGTTTGAAGTCACTCATTAAAAAGTAATGGTCTTTTTGAATAAGTAACTAGATTCTGGTATGTACAGTATCAGTGGGGAACAAACTAGACTGAATATTGTTTTTAATACTACTTTCTCCACTCCTGTTAGGTTAATTATCAGAATCTTAGCCAGAAATTAGAAATCAGTCTTAATACTTTAGAAGAAAAGATTTTCTGGTTCACTCTATACATTTTTTTAAAAAAATATTTTTTTAGTTATAGGTGGACACAGTACCTTTATTTTATTTGTTTATTTTTATGTGGTGCCAGGGATGGAACCCAATGCCTCTCACATGCTAGGAAAGCGCTCTACTACTAAGCCAATTTTAAAGTGGAGGTTCAGAACAAGGATGTAACTTATCCAAGATCATATAGCTTCTTAGTGCTGCTTTTACTGAATCAGCTTGACTCAGATGACTACTTCTCTGTTTCTGTAGAGTCCCTGGTGCCCTCTGGGTCAGCTGCTTTTCCTGAAACTTATAAGCCCAAGAAACCCTACTTAAAGTGAAATGGAATGTGAAAGCCTTTGTTAGGGCCTATATGGCAGAGCAGCCGTGATGGGGAGGGGCCTGGTGAAAAACGATTTTCACTTTACCCCTGCCTTTCTATCAGAGGAACCATGAATTTGCACATCAGATGAGATGGCTCAGCCTGATGCACAGTTGTCTAACCATTCATTCACTATTATTTTGATCCCCTGCTATATATAGTATTCATTGCTTAGGGACAGAATAGTGAATAAGATAGATGGGGATACAGGCCCTTCTTGATTTTACTTTCTTTAAATTGGAGGTAGATGGTAAACAAGTGAATATATCAACAAAGGACCATAAAAAGCCTCAGTTCCTCATCTGGAAAACAGTTGATAGGAAGGAACTAAAATAGGCAACAGGGTAGTGTGGAAGCCAGAATTGTCCTCAGGGCATTCTTTGGTTCTCAGGCATGTTTTGATTCTCTGTGTATTTCTGTATCTTAGGGGGATTCCAGTTAGGGCCATCCTCTTAGTCTTTCTTAGAGGTGGTCTGGGTGCCTGGGAGGCTGCAGAAGTCCTGGTCCAGGAGGCAGGATCCCTGACATAATTCTCTTGTGATTTTATGTGAGTTACTAAATATCTTTGGGGCTTAGTTTCCCCATCTGCAAAATGAAGAAAATAGATTGGATCACTCAGCACCTCCCTGTCTTGCTCAGTTGATTCTGAACGTACATGGAGCTGTGGATTACAATTCCTGTATTTTGAGCTGCTTTCTAACCAGATGGGAGCAGGTAAACTAAGGGCACACTGAGGTGCCTTACCACTAAAATATTTCTTCTGCATTACTGATTTACTGGTAAGCAGTTCAAATGCTATAAATGGGTATGCAATGAAAGATGAGTTGTATACACACTTGAAGCCAGTGTTCCTCTCCCAAAGGCAGCCAGTGGGATTTGTTTCTTGTGTGTGTGTTTCCTGAAACAGTCAAATATGTATTCCTTCCTTTTTTATTTTCAAAAAGAATCATATTACATGTTCTGAATTGAACTTCCTTTTTTAAATTAGCTCCATATATCTTGGGAACTTGTTCCAGATCAGGAAGTTTAGGTATTTTTCATTTTCCCTTTATTGTGTCCTTTTAAAAAAAAAATTTTTAAGTACTTTTTTTTTTTTTTGCACTGCTAGGGATTGCATGCTCTACCACTGAGCTACATCCCCGGTGCACAGTTTTTTTGAAGTGAGAATGAGAATACAAATTCTCCGTCTACCCATCTCTGAGTTGTCCAATTCTTTGCCCACAGTCTACCAATGATGTCAAGTTTTTTTTTTTCTTTCTTTTTTTAAAATTTTTTATGTTTTTTATGTGTGAGTATGTGTATGTTGCTGGAGATTGAAACCAGAGCCTTGTGCATGTGAGGCAAGCACTCTGCCGAGTGAGCTATATCCTCAGCCCCCTCAAGTTTCTTATATATCCTTTCAGAAATATTTTCAGCAATGGAAGTAAATGTACATATATTTTCACCTTTTTTCAAACACAGAATACCATTCTCTGCACTTTTGTACTTCTTTTTTTCATTTTATAGATTTAGCATATTTTATGTAACCTGTTCCCTGTTGATAGATTGGATGTTCAGATTCTTTCTGGTTTTGTTTGCTACTACAATCAATGCTGTGAAGAATAACAGTAATTTTGCAGGGACATGTATAGATTATAGTTGGTATGGTATTCCATTGCATGGCTTTACCATAGTTTTTATATGTAGTTTCCTGTTAGTAGACACATTGGTTGTCCAGTCAGCCCTTGTGATCCCCCTCTTTCTGCTTTCTCTCCTGTCCTTCATCCTTACCCCCAGGCACATGGCCACCCACTCGGCCCAGAAACCCCATCAGTGCATGTACTGTGATAAGATGTTTCATCGTAAGGACCATCTGCGGAACCACTTGCAGACCCACGACCCCAATAAAGAGGCCCTTCACTGTTCTGAGTGTGGTAAGAATTATAATACAAAGCTGGGCTACCGTCGCCACCTGGCCATGCATGCTGCCAGCAGTGGTGACCTCAGCTGCAAGGTGTGCCTGCAGACCTTTGAGAGTACTCAGGCACTGCTAGAGCACCTGAAGGCACACTCACGTCGGGTAGCAGGTGGTGCCAAGGAGAAGAAGCACCCCTGTGACCACTGTGACCGGCGGTTTTATACTCGTAAGGATGTTCGGCGGCACCTAGTGGTGCACACAGGCCGAAAGGACTTCCTGTGCCAGTACTGTGCCCAGAGGTTTGGCCGTAAGGACCACCTGACCCGTCATGTTAAGAAGAGCCACTCACAGGAGCTGCTCAAGATCAAGACAGAGCCCGTGGACATGTTAGGCCTACTCAGCTGCAGCTCCACAGTCAGTGTGAAGGAAGAACTGAGCCCTGTGCTGTGCATGGCCTCTCGGGACGTGATGGGGGCCAAGGCCTTCCCTGGTATGTTGCCCATGGGCATGTATGGTGCCCACATCCCTACCATGCCCAGCGCGGGCGTACCACACTCCCTGGTGCACAACACGCTGCCCATGGGTATGAGCTACCCTCTGGAATCCTCACCTATCTCTTCCCCTGCTCAGCTCCCTCCAAAATACCAGCTTGGATCTACCTCATACTTGCCCGACAAATTGCCCAAAGTGGAGGTGGATAGTTTTCTGGCGGAGCTTCCTGGAAGCCTCTCTCTCTCATCCGCCGAACCCCAGCCCGCCTCACCTCAGCCGGCGGCAGCTGCGGCCCTCCTAGATGAAGCACTGCTCACCAAGAGCCCCGCCAACCTCTCTGAGGCCCTCTGCGCTGCTAATGTGGACTTCTCTCACCTACTGGGCTTTCTTCCACTCAACCTGCCCCCATGTAACCCGCCTGGGACCACAGGAGGCCTAGTCATGGGCTACTCCCAGGCTGAGGCACAGCCCCTGCTCACCACTTTGCAAGCTCAACCTCAAGATTCTCCAGGAACTGGGGGACCACTGAACTTTGGGCCTCTGCACTCCTTGCCTCCTGTCTTCACCTCTGGCCTGAGTACCACCACCCTGCCTCGATTCCACCAAGCATTCCAATAGCCCCCAAGGAGGCCCTTGGCTCAGTCTCTGGCTCTGTCAGGGAGCCTCAGTACCCACCTTGTCTGCAAAGGCAGCTGAGCTTTCAGAGCTGGGTTCAAAAAAGCAAAAATTCCAGTGTCTGTATGGAGCACTTGGTTTGGGGGTTCAGGTTCCAGGATCATTTCCAGAAGGAGCTTTGAGCCCCAGCACCGTGAAAAGATCTCCTACCATAGGACTTTCAGGTATTTTTACTTTTATTTTTATTTTTTTAATCTGAATTGGGAGCCACACTTAGCCCTCTCCCTCTCCAAAGCATCAGAACCACCTCCTCTTTGAAGAGGAAGGCTTCTTGGAGACACAGAGGGCTTTACCTTGGATGACCTCAAGAGAAATAGCTCAAGAGGCCTGCTTCTGGTCCCAGCCTACAGACCCCACAGCAGTTAGTTGGTCAGGCCCTGCTGTGGAAGGTCACTTGGCTCCATCACCTGCTTCCAGCCAGCGGGCAGAAGGCCTCTGTTTTTCCCATCACCCCATCCCCACTGTACCACCAGCTCTGTTTTTAGTCAGTGTTGTCCAGCAACGGTACCGTTTACACACTTGCCTCAGACACACCATTTCACCTCCCTTACCACGCTGTTAGCCTTAGAATGATTGCAGTGAACACTGTTTACACACCATAAATCCATTCCCACCAGTCCATTTCAGTTGGCACCAGCCTGAACCACTTGGTACCTGGTGTTAACTGGAGCCCTGTTTACAAGGCGGAGTCGGGTCTTGCTGACTTCTCTTCACTTGAGGTCACATTTTTCCCCCGTGGGGAAATAAACTGACTTTGGACTGCTTCAGTCTCTGCCATCTTCTATGACTGCGTCTGTTCCTGCCTTCCTCGGCAGTGTCCACAGGAGACAGGCAAGAAGATTGGAGCAGCTTTCTCACAGGTCTACAATTCTGTTTTTCTCCAAATACATCATGACCCCCTCATCCTCCTTTTGAACTGGAGAGGGGAAGAAATGAAAGGCATGCCCACATCCATCACCTCCCCATCCCCTAACCACCACCTGCAACATCATGAGCTGTTGTTTTGTTTTTTGATTTTTTTTTTTTTTTTTTTTTGTCTTGGAAGGAGGGACTCTGGGTTCCAGGTTGGTGTGAATTGCAAAGGAGAAGGAATGAGCCCTTTATTTGTTTCCCTCCTGCCTGTCCCTTTTCCAGGAAGTTGTGGAATTGTTGGAAGAAGAGTTTTCAGAATGTTAGGACTGGGCACATAGTTGAGTCCTATCTAATCATTGTTGCCTCTCATACCAAAATTTTTCTTATCCATAGTGTCCCTTCTGTCTCTTCCATTTCGCAGTCCCCATGGACTCATGGCCACTGTGCATAGGCTTCTCTGCTCTCCATCGAGAACTTCCCATGGTTCAGTACCCCTCAGTTTTGCCCGTAGTATCCAACAAGGCTTCTTGAGAGAAGTGATTTAGTTCTTCTGATTTGTGGGGCTCCCTGCAACAGACAGCACAACCTGTTCCCAGAACCCCACCAGACCCCAAACCCTGCTTCATCTCAGTTCTGCATGGGCTCTCCCCATGCGTGGAAGGGAGGCAGCTCAGGGGCCACCATTGTGGGGTCCTCCTTAGAACCCTCCTTTCTGACTCAGAAACACACTTCTACCTCTCTACTGTTAACTCCTACAGATGCAGCCAGCCGTTTCTGGGCACTTCTGTCAATGGGTGCCTCATGCTGGCTTCTCCACTAGGGTTTCAGGACAAACTACCTAGGAACTGCCTCACCCTCCTACTCAGCCTCCTGTCCCCCTTCTGTCTAGATTTACTTCAGGAATTGAGTCATCAGGAACTGCCCAGGTCCAGTACCCAGGCTTCTGCTTCAGCCCAGGCCAGTACTCCTTGTTTTAGGTGAAAGCCTTAAAATTTTAGCTCCCTGACCCTTGACTGGAAGCAATGTGGAGTGAATAATAAGCGTGTTTTGATTTAGGCAGGGAAGCTTGGGATACCTTTTAAAAAACAAATATAAATATGATCAACAAGTTTAGCATCAGACTAGATGATTTGCTTCTAAAAATTTGTTTCCGTGAGTCCCAAGGACTAATTAAAATATATTTTTAAAAGCATCTACCCTGGTACGCAGCCACCTTCTGCATGCAGTGCGTGTTATTTGGACTGGTGTTACAGGAAATGATCTGTGAGAGTCCAGGGACTCATTGCTGCCATTCTCCTTGTGTTTGGTCTTCCCCAGACCCAGCAGCCCTCTTTGCCTTGCCTGCCACCTTCCCTGCACCCTCAGATTCTGCAGGGTTCCCCGACCGTACAAGATGAAGTCCTGGACTGTTAGGGAGTCTTGCCCCGTTTGCCCTTTCCTGACTCTCCCCTCCATTTGTGATACCGAGAAGCTCATAGGACAGGCAGCGCAACTATTTAAAATCTTATAACTAGGGCCTGGCCACGACCTTTTTTTTCCTTTGCCCTCGCCTATTCCCATCTCTCTTCTGTCTCTCTTCAGTGCCCTTACTACCACAAGGAATTTTCCTGTCACTGTGAACTTTGCTAGTGCAGAAGAACATTATCTGCCTACATCTTTGGACCATATCCCTGCTGTTTCTTAGCTTCTTCCCATCCACTGCCCAGAAAAGCCCTTTTGGCCTCACTGTTCAAAGGATTTTTAATCTGTGCTCACTTCAGTACCCCTACTGAGGCCATGAGATCCTGAAGGGCATGTGCCCAGGTCAGGAGCCATGCATGGCATGTGGCACACACCAGTCAGGGACCAGAAAAAAGGAGTGATGTTCTCTTTCCCTGCCACCTCTTCCAGACTGTCAGCAGTGAGCTGGCCTGTACAGGAGGACAGGCAACTCCCACCCTGCCCAGTAGGTGGCCAGAGCTGATATAGTACTGGGGGTCCAGTGCTGGCACACCCAGGTGTCAGCCCAAAGGGTCCCTGTACCATCTTAAGTGAGCTGGGAGGCAGGGAAAGATGCACCAGTGAGTGTCGGCCCCCAACACCCCCTGCACACCCCCCCCACCCCGTTTTATAAGTGGCATTTTGTTAATGGAAATCCGGGAAGCAGGTGTGATTACTTTTTGCTCGTAGATATTGTCTTAAGTTGAAATTCTCCCAGTACCCTAAACTTTCCCTAGTAGCCCCTTTGAATTTCCTCCTCCCCTTTGGTAGCTGTTTTCTCCACCACCCCTCTCCACCTCCCCTCTTATCTAGGAGCTGTTTTTAAGCACGATTTTTTTTAACAGGTTATATTGTACAGGATCAATATTTTGCTTTTTAACAAGGATATTTATGTAATAAGAAACTTTGCCTTAGGCAGGTGTTGGCCAGAAAAGTCCAGATTCCTCTGGAACCCCACCCTGGCCTCTCCTGGAGCTCTGATCCTGCTGTGGAAGGAATTGGCTGTGACCTTCACCACCAGAGAGTAGGGTCTAGCGAGGGAAAGGGGTGTTCACCGTCATAATCTAGTGCCTCCATGGAGGGTGTGGAAGTGTTCCAGTCCAGTGGCTTCTGGTGTCGGCTGACTTCCTGCGCTGATTCTCCTCCCACACCTCTCCACCTCTGCATATCCGGCACTAGAACTCCTGAACATCTCTTCTCACGTTCTCCCCTCCTTCCCTGTGGTCGAGGCTTCGGAGCCACCCTTTCGTAATGCCAGATTATTTAAAGAGAGAAAAATACAAGACAAAAACCTTCTAGCACTTTGTAAACACAGTGAATAACCTCTTGGAGTATTTTTGGCTTTATATAAAACAAGGTTTTTAATTGTAAAATATAAGTGCCATTAGAAAATGCACAGGGCATATCTTTGTTAAAGTAGATTTTTTTCAATGTTTTACAGAATTACATTTTCAAAAAAAGTTTTTATAATGAAGTTGTTTATTAAAAACTTCTGAATGATGTGTTTGGCAGTTGTGAACCTAATTGGGAAAGGGTTGGAGAAAGCCTGGAATTGGGAAAAACTGGAATCTCCAGACATCTTTAGCATCCAGGGTGAGGATGGTGAGTGTAGGGCAGATAGCAGTAGCCATTCGCATTAAAGATGGAGTTTGAAATGGAAGCTCTTAATTGGGTATCTTTGAGGTAAGTGGTATCATTCTATCAGTTAATCTTGGGTGTAAGGATCAGAAAAAGCAAATCAAATTGACTTCAAACAGCAACATCTCAGGTAACTGAAAACGCCAGCAGCAGCACAGTATTTGGGTCAGGCCTAACTCAGAGGTTGGAACATGCCTGGCCTCAGCGTTGCTGTGTGTCCACCCTGACTTGTAGTGCTGTGAGTTCATCCTCAGGCTCTACAAAGTATGTTCTTCCTTTGTGTGAGATCCTAATTCTGCCACGATTCTTGACTTGTCACTCACACACAGGACTGACCAGCAGAGGATCTTCAGGCTTTTGGGAAGAGTCCTTTTGTTCACAGACGCCCCAGTAAGCATCCTATTCCATTGGCTTCCATGGTGTTCTCCCCCATTAACTAAAGCAGACCCTATCAGTGACGTTGAGACTGAAACCAAGGAGGAATGGTTTCTCACAGTAAACATGGGCAACTGTTAGGATGAGAAACTGGTTGTCCAAAAAATATACATGTCTACCACAGTCACCTACACTGCCCAAGGTGCACCTATGCCTGTGCCCAACAACTGTTGAGAGGCTGACATGCTTTCAGGTGACATTGCTTGGCCAGTCCTAACAAATGTCATCACCATCCTGGGCGCCACCCTTTATGCTGAGATCCTTCCATCAAGGGCCAGGGTTTCACTTTTATAAGAGCATATCTCCATTCACCTATTTCTCCCAGCTAGCTCCAACTTACAGCTTCCCCCACTTCCCCGATAGTCCATTCAATTGTGAGCCTATCAATGGATTAACCTATTGATGAGATCGGAATTGCGATCTAATCACTTCCAAAAAGCCCCACCTTTGAATATTGCTGCATTGGGGACCAAGTCTCCAACATGAGAAGGAGCCTTTGACGGACCAAAGGCTCCTGATCCAAACCATGAGCTCAGTTGCCCATGAGGGCACTAGCAGGTGTGAGTGTGTGCTTGAACAAAGGCAGCGAGCTGACCCTTCATCCATCATTCTACTTACATGTTCACTGGCCACCCCAATGAGTTGGGGCCTCAGGAGAATCCACCTTGCCTTCTTAAGTTTGTATACCTTAGACTAGCCCCAATGGCTCAGATGAGGGAGGTGTCATGTCCATTGGGCAGGAAAGAGGCTCAAGGCTTTCTGGAGTAAGTGGCAGGGATTTGGCAGAAATGGCATTAGGTCTACTGAACTCCATATGCCACAAGTTTAGGAACTGAGACCACAGGAGTGTGTATGTATTTGCCGGTCCTGGACTGCAGGGGCTGGTCTACCCAGGAACAGATCACTTCAGACTCAAGTCCGGCTTTGTGAAATGAGTGGTACTGAGCAAAAGGTAACTAACCCCTTTGGCCTGGCATAAAATGAAGCAAGGGCCGCCTGGTCTCAGCCAGCCAGCCCAGGAGGAACATGGGGACCAGGCAGATGCTCTCGCTCCCTGCTCTGCAGTGGTTTGAGGCCTTTCCTTGCCTGGGATCTTTCTACTCATTAATTAACTATTTTCTTCCCTTTCTCCACAAGAGGAGCACCTTGGGTGCCACAGTTACTGTTATCTTCGGCTCCGGGTTCAAGTGTGGTCAGCCTCTGCAAGGAACACCCCTTGGCCCCTCGGCTGTGCCTGTGAAAATGTATCCTGTGTGAAAGTGCAAGTGTCCTCAGTGGCCCCAAGAGAGCCCAGCAAGGGGAACGAATGCCAGCCGTGGTGGCTGTGATGGGCTGCCCCTGCTTGGTCCACCCCTGCACTTTCCCCCACCTCCACTGCCTCTGAGCCAGTTCTGTTTAGCTCGGGGGGCCGCGTCCCCACCGGGCAGCCCCCACATACACACCAGAACTCCAGGTCCCTTGTCTCCCCCGCGCGGGAGGACCCTAACGAGTCACATCCGGAAGAGGGGTGCGAGGGGCGGAGCGCGCCCCGGAGGAGGAGGAGACAGCACCTCCCCGCCGCCTGTCCGCGACCTGCCACAGCCGCGGCCCCTGTCGCAGAGCCCGCAGTCTCGTCTGAGCCCCACCAGCCAAGAGGCTGCCCGCAGGTGATGGCGGACGAGGGGGCGGGTGCCCTGGAAGCTGCCGCTAGCCCACCGTCTGGGCCCGCGCAGGAGGGGTGCGAGTGCCTGGCCCCCGCGGCCTGGGTCCCGGGAGCTGGGGGACGCGGGGACCCCCACCCTGCAGCCGGCCCCGGGACCGCTTCACCTGCGCCAGGGCTCCGGGAAGTGGCCTCGGTGGCGGCTGACCCAAGCCTGGAAAGCGGCCCCCACGGGGATGAGACCCCAGAAACGTGTGGCGCAGAAGAGTGGGGGGCTCGGGCGGGGGCCGGTGGGAAGGCCGAGGAAGTGACGACTGAGGAGGGCGCCATCTTCATGGAGGAGGCGGCGGAGGAGGTGGAGAAGCAGCAGGTGGGGGAGGAGAGGCTGGAGGTGGGCGCGGAGGCACAGGAGGCCCCGAGGCCCATAAACCTTGATGGTCTCATTGTAGACCCATTAGAGGCCATCCAGTGGGAGCTGGAAGTCCTGAGTGGCCAGGCCGACAGGGCCTACCTCTGGCTTGAGCGCAGTTTTGGGAGGATGCGCAGGTTGCACCTAGCCCGGAGAAGCTTCATCATCCAGAATATTCCCGGGTTTTGGGTCACCGCCTTCCTGAACCACCCGCAGCTGTCAACCATGATCAGCCCCCGAGATGAAGACATGCTCTGCTACCTGATGAATCTGGAGGTGAGGGAACTCAGGCATGCCAGGTCAGGTTGCAAGTTCAAGTTCCGCTTTTGGAGCAACCCCTACTTTCAAAACAAGGTGATAGTGAAGGAGTACGAGTGTAGGTCTTCAGGCCGGGTGGTGTCCATTGCAACTCGGATCCGTTGGCATCGAGGTCAGGAACCCCCAGCCCTGGTTCACAGGAACAGAGACACAGTGCGAAGCTTCTTCAGCTGGTTTTCACAGCACAGCCTCCCAGAGGCTGACAGGGTTGCCCAGATCATCAAAGATGACCTGTGGCCTAACCCCTTGCAGTACTATTTGCTGGGGGATAGGCCCCTCAGAGCCAGGCGAGGCCTAGCAAGGTGGCCCACAGAGGCCCCACCTCGGGCCTCCAGGTTCCAGTCTGGCTGAGTCCTACAGAGACTCCTTTCCACCTCCTGTGGACCTGGGTTAGGCCCACAGTGGATGCCCTGCTGTCTGCCTTCTCTTTTGCACCCTTTGGCTCCTCTGGATGTTCAATGGACTCAGCTCCTAGACTGTGGCCTTCGTGGCCAATCTCTGCAGTTTCCATGTGACCTTCATGCTGTTCTCTGTCAACATCACATGACTGAAACATGCCACTGCATTTACTCCAGCACGTCCAGTGCTGTGCATGTATCCGCCACCATCTTCCTGGCCTGGCCCTGTCTGGGATCTGGCCTTCCCACCCAGTTTTGATGCTGGCCCTCACAAGGCATCACCAGGAAGACCCGTGCCTCTCTGCCGCCTAGTGCTTCAAAGCCGCAGCTGGATGGGCTTTGAGTTTGTGCTGGCTGCGCTCATGATGGCTCCCCACACTGGCTGTGGCTGAGACTCAGATGGTTGGGGCAGTTGGTGCTGCCTGCCAGGCAGACTTGGACATTCCAAGGCCTCAGGACCACAGGCCAGGTTACCACCAAATGGACTGTTGGGCATGGGCAGAGCAGGCCTGGGGGAGGTCTGGAGCAGGGAGCAGCGGGAAGCACACTCTGTGATTCCCCTGCTCTTCCTCCCCAGGTTGGGTCCCTGCCGGGGCTTGCTCTTGAAGGCCTGCGCTATGCCCCATGAACGCCTGGCTCTCACATTTCTCATAAGTTCTGCCCAGGCAGCCATCAGCCCTTGGCCTACTCCCAGATCTATAAGAATCTCAAAAACTGTCTGTGAACCCTGCTGGGCCACCTGCCAATGCACAGGAGATCTCACAATCGCCCAGAAGCTCTGCCAGGTTGGCGTATCTGAGCACGTGGTCAAGGTGGCAGCAAAGATGAGATCCTCCAGGAGCCCACTTTCCTGAACCCTATTTCTGGACCCACAGAGAATCCATACCCTTCACTGGCTCTCCTGCCCACATGTTCTTAGCTGCCAAGTTGTGGATGCTGGGAATTGTGTCTACATTGGCCTAGATCTCACCATTTTTCCTTAAAGTCGCAGCTCACAAACGAAAACTGAAGAAGCAAAGTGTTTGCAAATAGCTAAGAAGACAGACTTTCTTGAATTCATCTTTGTCTCCAGAAAGGGAAAGCTTGTCCTGTAAACTGCCAGGGCTCTCTTTGCCCCCTCTGCTCACTTGCCCCACCCCATTTAGCAAGGCCTAGAATCTTCAAAAGGTGGGCAGGGCTGCTCAGCAGACCAGGAAGTCCCTAGGGGCAGGGAGAGTTAATCATTTCATTTTACACGATGTTCTTTTGGAGGAACTTTAGTCTCAACTCTTCTCCCTCCTCCAGACCCTGCCCCCTCTGTGCTCCCCACCATAGGTTGCAGGTTTCTATAGGTACAAGGGCTGAGCTACTCCTCTCCTCCAAGTGCCCTGTGGGACTGTGGGCTGTCTCTGTTTTATTTAGGGGAGGTGGTGGCCCCTGCCCATATAAGGCCTGTCTTTTGCTCCTAGGACCTAGGAACACAAAATAGTGAGGAGGGCAGTGCAACAAGCTGGAGCCGGTAGGAAAGGTGGGGTGGCAGGGGGCCTGCGGGGTAGAGGGAGCAGTCCCCTGATTTTTACTAACTTCCTGGATTCACCAATATGTTTTGTAAATTGTGAGAATGAGAGAGCACTACAACTTTAGTCTTTCCCTCCTAGTCAGGTATGACCTTGTGTGTGTAAAG